GTGAATGGGCTGGCTGCATGGCCGTTTCCGTGGTTTTCCCCATGTGTAACATGTATACAAGCCAATTACCCTTAGAAAGTCCTCCACGAAGGCATCCCTTCCTTTAGGCAGATAGCCCTAGTGTGCTTTGCCGTAATCTCAATAAACCAAACCTACCCCCAGTCCTTGTACCTGTGAGACACTGTTTTCAGAGTTCTTTGTTTGCAAAGGATTTCCGTCGTACATGCAGAATTTCCTTATCTATAGGCTAACTAAGACAATCTTCTAGAGGTGTTATAAATGAGTGAAGATTCTTTCTCAAATACCAGCTGATAAGAGGTGGAATGGAAACTTCAGTATCCCATCTTTTAAAGTTTCTACATTCAAAATCTGCCTTGTGGGTTAGAAAAATTAATAGTTACAAAGAATTACAAAAAAAAAGGTCATGAAATGCTTCTAAATGTTACCCTTCATGATGAAGAGTTTTTGAATCAAAAGGGAGGGTAAGTGTAGAATGTAGGGAGTGGTAACTGTAAAAATGCAAGAAAAGCACTAGTCATGTTTGCAGTTGTGGCAGACCGACTTGATAAACAAAATGCAGTCTCTGCTGGCTTGACGTGTGAGTTTTAAAATTGTATGTCTTTGGTAGAACTATTTTTTTAATATATTGTATGCTTAATTTATAATGCATCAGAAATGCCTAAGCAAAAAGATTTAAGCCTGGAAGTAAAAAAAAAAAAAAAAAATTAAAAGATCTTGATGTTCTTGGTAAATGCATCCCCCCTCGAATGCTGCATTTAAACTGAGAATATTCCTGAACAGCACTGTGCAGTTTACTTAAAAAAGTATAATTGATGAACTAAAAACTGTAAATGTCTCAAAGAAGTGCTAAAAAGACAGAAAATGCAGAGTCATTGATATTGGTTTTCGATAATTTTCCAAGGTATAGCTAATTTTTTTTTATTATTATTATTATTTCTAGAGCATTATTTACCAATTGGCTAAATGCTATGGGAGAATTTTACATCAACTGACATATGGCTCACAAATTAGAGGAAGAGAAATCCAACATTGTTCTTCAGAAACTGTATGGTAAGAACAAAGAAGCAGATCATCATGTAGCTGATAACTGGATAAAAGACATTTTACTTACTAACTGAATACAAGTCAAAAAAAATTATAATGCAGACAAAAATTAGACTGCAAGACAGTACAGAACATTACCAGAAATTCACATTACTGTCTAAAAATAAAACAGTAGTTGGTTCAAGAAACTGATGGAATAATTTAATGTTATGTGATACAAACCTAAAAATTAAGATGACATTGGTTATTGACAAAAGCAGAAAACCTCGATGTTTGAAATGAGCCAAACAAGAATTCATTTGTAACTTGCCACAGCAACAAGAACTTATGAATGACAAATAGAATATTCACACAGTCCTTGGACAAGTTTTGCCTTTATTGTGAGCACTCTGTAAGAAGAAGCATTATAAACTTTTGTGGTATTATTACATGTATGTCTAAGTCCCCCGTAACAATTTGGTTTGGTTTAATATGCACATAATGTGAAGATTTGAGAATCAAAAAATCCTCATAGGATAAGGAAATTGATGTAGGACAGCCTGAAAGTGAATGTTTGGTGTGGGATGCTACATGACAAAATTTTAGGACTTTTCTTCTTCAGTGAACAATCCAGAGTTTACCTTTATACATTGATTAAGTAAATTTATTTGCAGTTGAAGGACCATCAATCAGAGGTTATATTGTTGCATGTTATAATAAGGTTGTGTAATTTATGTCGCTTGTCACAAAAACTTTAAACCTTGTTTGTGAAAGTGCGACCAGTACCTAAGGTGTAAATCTTTCTGTTCCCAAACAACAAGCTGCTGTTAAAGTTCTTCAGGAACTTTAACTGATTAATATCTTTGCTTTATGGAGACTGTGCATTTTTACTGATTTTCTTTTAAAATGGAACAGTGAACTGAAAATTGAAAAGAAAAAAAAAAAAAAAAAAAAGCTTTCCTATTCAGATAACTGTGCAATAAACACACTTCTAATCTCTCTCTGAAAAATATTAGTGTCTCTTTTTAAAAATACAACTTATTTTTGATGTTAGGGTGATATAAGAGCTTTCAATTGTCATTACAGAAAGGATGTTCAGTAAATGATTAACCGAATTTAATTTTCTGGAAATGTAAGCACTTCAAAGAAGATAAGTAAATCAGTATCTCTGCTAGACACTATGCATATTATAGTCAGTGCCTGCTAATATTTCAGACATCAATGAGATAAATTATGATTATTCATTTTTAGAATATGTGTCAATTCACAGCAGCATTGAGACAGTAGTATACAAGGTAACCAAAAACGTTCTTGCTGTTTTTTGACAATCAGAAAGAAAAAGTTATAAAACAAATAATAACACCGCTAATCTTTAAATTAATCACCATCGACATCCAGTGCCTTTTGCCAACGAGTGGCTAGCTGTGTGATGCCATAGCGGTAAAACTCAGGAGTCTTGGACGCAAAGAAGTCCGTGAGAGCCTTTTCGAGGTCTGGCCGGTTGTTGAAGGATTTCCGATGAAGTGATTGTACAGGGAATGGAAAAGGTGGTAGTCTGTTGGCGCGAGGTTTGGGCAGTATGATGGATGGAGTAATGTCTCCCAGCCCAGTCGCTGGATAGTGTCCCTGGCCACCCGAGCCTCATGCGGCCTTGCATTGTCATGGAGGAAGAGTACCCCTTACGATTGACCAATGCTGTCTCTTTATGCATCAGTACCTGATGCACACGTTCCAACTGCTGCGAGTACTGGCCTGTCCTGATGGTTTGGCCCACTGGCAGGAGCTCATAGTGCATCATTTGGCGACTAGTCCACCAGATACAGAGTATGATCTTTTGTGGGTGGCGAGAAGTTATCGCAGTTTGAGGTATAGGGTCCTGTGGTGACAACCAATGTCTGGAACAACTGTTCATCGCTGGTGAGAACTCTATCAAATATGGATGCATTGCGGTGCTGCCTTTCCTATGGGATACAAACGGAGTCTGATCGTTTCATCAGATACCTGGAAGTGTGCAGCAAGCTCACCACATTTTTGGCTACTGTCACTCCCTGGGGCTGCTGTCAGGGCCTCATCGTCCAGCCTTGTGGCCGACCGCTGCTTGGTTCATCACTAAGAGACATATTCCCTGACCTGAACTTTTCGAACCATTGCTTAGCGGTTCTTTCGTTAACGGCATCATTCCCAAAGGCCTGGCAAATTCGGCCACTTGATTCTGCTGCTGACAGGCCCACTTTACAATTATACGGCAAACAACTCCGAACGAGCGCCTTTGACGCGTCCATTTCAATCAGTCGATGTTTGAAGTTCCGTTTACCGTTGTTCGCCGCGCTTAGCTAGAATGTGAGGTCTAGCTTTTACCGGTTGTCGTGAAGTGTAGTTGCTTGAAGCACTGCAAGTGCTCGAATGCTTGAGTAGGTCCGGAGACAGGATAGGAGCTGGAGGGGGGTAGACGCCAGCTCACGTGAGGCAAGCAGACATCCGAATGGTAGTTCAGGAGGAAATTCCAGCATCTTAGAGTGTAGAGAATGCAAGCAAAATATACAAAATATAACATCATAACATTCCCGTAAAGAAACAGGGCTAATATGTTTGAAGTACCGATGCAACGCGCTTTTATAATCTTGTACAATGTCCGGACTCCTATCCTATCCTAACCTCTTCATCGCCATGTTTGGTGACTATTTTTATGTTTGGGTTCACTCTTCCAATGTCATATCAGAAACGGCAAGAACTTTTTTGGTTACCTTGTATATAGTGTACTATAATATGGAGCACTGTGCAAGAACTGACTGCAAAAGTCATGACATGCCATCATCAATGAATTTAGATAAATAATACAGATTCTAAGAAAAATTCTTGAATTGAAAGATGCTGATCAAAAATGCTATCAGCAGTTTTACAGAATTGAGAATACAATTGAGAAACTGTTGTTGAATAATCTGAAACAAATGTAGTTAATTGTTCGTAAAAGATAAAATTTCATCAAGAAAAATGTAATTATGATTTTTTATAAAACATTTTAAAATTGCATAAATAATTTAATATTCCTTTTTAATTATTATTTTAGGATTAATTCATGAATTGTTAATTATTTTACTTAAAAAATTTTTAATCTGATATCACGGTTTCCAGTGCACGTATCACCATTTATTAAACTCAGCCACTTAATAAACTAAAATACGTTTGGAATAGAAGTGATTTTAATAAGCAATGGGTATTGTATATGTATATTTCGAGTGTCGGAAAGGAGGATGAATTTATAATAGGATGCTTATGTGGTGTGCGCAGCTTTTCAATCTTGCTGAAAATCTCTTTTAATAAGAATCTGAAATATTTATATATAGATTAAATATTATATATTAGAATTTGCGATATTTATATCCTTATATATTTTTTATTTCAAATTAATTTTAGTTTATTATTAAAATTCAGCATTTTGCATGTTGTTTTAATAAATATTTAGTGATCTAGTTTGTCTTAGAAAGTAAAAAATATCCATTTCGGTGATCAAGTTCTCAGAAATATTGACCACTTTCAGAGTTAAAAGCCACTGTCTGTGTAACCGTGTATCTGTATATATGATTCTAAATCTGCATTCTTGTAAAATTGGACATATCCTTGGAAGATTTTTTTAATCATGTTATTTTTAGAATGAGATTTTTCTGATTTAATCATAATCTTATTAAATTTAGATTGCTTTTTTGCTTTTAAATAATGTTTTATTCCTCCCTTAGCATGTAGTTTTAAGACTTGTCAATAAATATACAGGCGTCTGGTTAATCTATTATTAAAATTATAATTTTTGGTGACACAACTTTTCCTTGAACTTTTTGAACAGTGGGATGTTATTGAACAGCAGTTTGAGTAACTGAAATCTGTATGTTAATATATTAAAATTTTGCTTTTTAGTGTTTTTATTTGTAAATTAAAACATTTTTATTCTCAAATTATTTTAGATTACTGAGAGGAAAAAAGAAATGGAAAAGAAAATGAAGTTAGAAAAGTCTGCTTTAAAGCAACTTGATATAAAGACTCAGAAAAAAGAAGAAATTAAGCTAAAGGAAGAAAAGAAAACTCGAGAAAAGCTTATACAAAAGGAAATTATTTTAAAAAAGAAACTTCTAAGAAATCTTAAAGCTAAAGAACAGGAAAAAATTATTGAAACTAGAGAGAAACTACGTAAAGAACTAGCTGGACGTAGAGTTCTTAAAAGTGTGCTAGCAAACAGGACATTTAATAGTTCTACATTTAAAAAGAACTATTAGTAAACTCTTTCATAAATATGCAAATATTTGCATAAATTATACATTTATGAAAACCTGTGATCTTTTACAATGTAAAGAGGAATTTATTATTTTATAAATAAGAAAATAAATATTTTCTATTGTTTTGTTAGAATTCTAAAAGTTCAAATATATTTTATGTTTGTAAAGTCTCATACTATTAACTTCATCAGTTGGAGATGTTCAAATGACAGGCAGCACATGTCACTGAGCAGTAAGAGATATTTAATTTTTTATCCTTTTCTTATTATTGATGTTACTTAGAAATGTGCAAATTTTGAAATTAGCAATACATTTTATTAATGTCAGCAGTATTGAAAATGTAAAATCTACAGCGATGTACCTAACCAGTTAACTGTGGCTGTCTCGTTTAAGAGTGCGCACCGTTTTGTATTGCCAAAATCGAGCTATGACGAGTATATTCGTCAATCACAGAGACAGTTGCGCTGGTAAGATATTGGATGAAAAAGATGGGTTTATAAGGTATTTTTCCCACTTCTCTAGCGTGCCTTCGTGGTTTAGTGGTTCTGCACACTGAGCTGGTATTTCAGAGGTCGTGGTTCGATTCCCAGCGAAGGCGTTGCATATTTTTCATCTTTTCTGCTTCTAATTAGCCTAATGACTCTACAAGTGGCGCCCGAACTAAAAGGGTTGTGAATGATGATTCTCCGCGCCCAGGATTTGGCGACTACGTCTCCTAAAACCCTAGTCGCCCTTTAAAAAGGGGAGTATATAAGGTATTTCTCCCACTTCCCTAGCGTTCCTTCGTGATGTAGTGGTTCTGCACACTGAGCCGGTATTTCAGAGGTCCGTGGTTCGATTCCCGGCGAAGGCGGTTGCATAATTTTCATCTTTTCTGCTTCCAATTAACCTAATGACTCTACAGGTTTATTTTATAAAATTGAAAATTTTAGTACTAATATTTAATTATTTGGTTAACATAAGCATATGTTACATACATATTAAACTAAAAACGCAATAAATTAAATTAAATATTATACATAGAAAAGTAAGAATTTAAATTCCTGAAGTGATATTCAGTGAAACAGGGTACTATACACAATGGGACTTTGCAAATCGATTCCTTCCTGATCTTACCGTTTGTAGCAATGCGAACACCTTCGCGGTGTATAGTCCGGAACATGATTCCTGCCTAATTGGCTTATATTAGGTCTAAATGGCCGAGCTTGTGTCGATTTATTTCTTTCAGTTGGATACGTCGCAAAAGTGTCTTCAATAAATTTGAGCAAAAAGTTGATACGCGATAATATTCCATTATTTTTTATATAATATGAATACATTCAGACGCATAATGTCTAAGAAATGAAGAAATATCTTTTTGTAGTACTTTGAGTCGTTTTCTTGTTGTGGAGTACGCTATGATAATTCCATCGCTCATATCCACTCCACCCATTTTTTTATTATAATCAATCAATAGCTCTTTCTTTGTTATTATTTTTCTTTTCTCTGTTTCTATTACGTTGTTTTATACCTCATGACGAGTATACCTGTCAATACACAAAATCGTGTCGCTTCTCCACGACGAGTATACTCGTCAATTACAGTTAACTGATTAAAACTCCATATTTTGTATTTGTAGCTTTTGTACTGCTTGCAGAATCCTTAATATGTGGCAAAAAGAGAACACTGAAATAAGTCGACAAGCAAACATAGCTCATATGTATAACTTGTAGTGTGTTATATATAGCTTTGTAGATTATGGGTGAAACCTGATAGACATTATCTAATGATTGTTCAGCTTGCAGATGTAATTGACTTGTTTTGCCATAATTAAGTAACCCAACCTCATAAGGTCCGTAGGATTGTATGAACAGTTGCAATGGTTCTAACACTTTGGTAGAGTCAATGACTGTTCTTGAGCCACCGTGTTGGCTACAAATGGTTTTCACTGTTTCAATGATCCTTTCAACCAATGAAGGACGATTTGAGAGTCATTTCGTAAGAAAATTTGTTTCGCGAAATCTGGGATAAGACTGTCTAAATAATTTGTTAAACATGCAGTTTAATTTTTTTTTTTTTTTAACATTCAGACTTATAAATAATTTTTAAACAGTGAGAAGTGCTACATCAGTTCTAGTCTTGCAAGAGTCAAAGTTTTTAACGGAGCAGTTTTACTTTGACATGATAAAGCTCATTGCAATTTGGCCATTGCAGTTCGCGTACCGTAAGAACGCAAAAGTAGCCCCACATGTCTTGGGACTGACTGGCTTCACAAAACACATGAAGAGAAAATTTTTGTTCTTTAAAAAAAGTTTTTTTCCCCCTCAATGAATACTGATTCAAGTTTACAAAGCTCAGAATACTAAGTTTTTAAAGTCGCTTGTCAAATCTTCGTCCCATTTAAGACCACGTTCCCACATGTCTTGTAGAAGTATTTTTACTGCTATTACAAAGGGACTAATTACTCCACACGGATCATACACTCCTCAAAAGTGAAACTGCAACACCAAGAAAGAATGCTCGTATCGTCATGCAAATTGCAGGATCGAGAGTTATGATATGGATATGCAAGTGATTAAAAAAAATACACATAAAATCATTATAAACCAATTTATTCAGTACCTAATGTGCCCACCATACAGGCCGCAATCTCGCGAGGCATGCTATCAATGAGTTCATTGATGGTTGCCTGAGATAGGCTTTGTCAAGCAACATCCGCTGTTGTACGCAGATCATCCAGGGTTTGCGACCGTGGCTCTCGGTTAATGTCGCATCCAATGGCATTGTCTTGCTGGAATACCGTGTTGAGTGCGCCCTGTAACCAGGCCAGAACAACAGGCTCCACAACTTGCGTGACATAGCGGTCCGCTGTCAATGTGTACCAGGGACGTCTTGTGATTAAACATTATGCCTCCCCAAACTATAATGCCCGGTGTGACGCTCGGCGAAATGGGCTGTTTCGTAGCGTTCTCCGGGTTGCCGCCATATCCGTCGACGGCCGTCATTCCTTCACAGACAGGAATGAGATACATTAGTGAACAAAAGCCGATGTCATTCGATGGTCCACGCACTATGACGCTGACACCACACCAGGTGTCTAGTCTTGTGTTTAGCAGTCAATGGTACCCCTGTGGCTGGTACCCGTGAACGTAAGTGTACTTCATGCAATCTGTTGCGTATAGTTTGGATGAACGCAGATCCACCTGTTCGTGGAGGCAACCGACTGCAGATACTACGTGACGGGGAGAAAGAGTGCCTAACAGTTGACCGCCGAATACGCTGGTCTGGGCGTTCTGACGTGCACCTGTGCGCACCACTTCCTCTTCGATATGCACGTACACCTTCCTGAATCTATTTTGTGACACAACGTTTGATGTTACTCACGTTGTGCGCAACACGAGTGGCTATTGTGCGCAGCGACAAACCAAGGTCATAAAGATCAATAATACGGTCACGTTCCCCGGTCATTAACTAATAGTACTAAGCTCGCCGACGTCTCAGAGGCACCGTAAACCCTCAGATGCTGTTTATGAGAAGGGAAAGTGGCTGACCTTTATAGCAGGCATATGCTTACCACGTGATCCAATGCGTGCGCAACTTTTATCATTTGCATATCTACCTCACAACGCTCGCTCCTGCAATTTGCATGACGCTACACGCATTCTTTCTTCGTGCGCTTTCACTTTTCAGGAGTGTATATCTTTGAAATAAGTCCCAAGACGTGTCGCTTGCTGATTCTAAAATCTCTCAAATCTAATGTAATTTAATCATCAATCAGATCGCACTTTAATCCCAAGAAACTTTTCCCTTGCCAGGAATCGTTATTTTCCTCATATCCATTTTCACTCAATTAGTTTTTAATTTCCTCAAATGAAATCCCGCTGCTTTCAAAATCTCTATTGCCGTAGAGATTAACTGATATGCATCCTGAAAGGTATTGGCTGTATAAAATAGATCGTCAACTTAGAGAAAAGAATTTAACATTTCATAATATTTTGGATGATGCTCTTTAAAAATTTCTTAATGTGAAATTTCGAAACACAAGCAAGGCAAAATGGTGAAATCGCTAAACCAAATAAAACAGGATTTAAATGAAGAGTTTGAATTGAATCCCCTGCCCCTTCTGGAAACCACAAAAATTTAACATATTTTCTGTACCCGTCTGCAATCTGTATCATAAGCAAAGCTTTCTCTAAATCTCCGCAAAATGCAAATTGATTATTCGCGAAATTTAAGAATTATGTTCAATAAATTAGCACGAAGATGAAGAATTACACTCCCGATTCTAGAGATTCATTTAGAAATTTATTTTTTTCTTTCGCTTTGTTGCTACAGTCATGATTAATTTTAACCCGACTTGTTTCCTTGTCATCTCTGAATACTGCTTTGTGAGGCATATAGTATCCTGAATTTATATCCTCATTAACACATTTTCCCGCAACCTGACATTTTAACTGCTCCGATAGAATTTATTTACACTGGTCATCAATTTCCTGATTTTTACTTAGTTTGTGGCTTAGCGAATCAATGCGTCTTTCGCTACACCATAATTAGTCTTTAGCCCAATTGCGGGTTATATGTTTTCTTTTCACATCAACCTGCAAACGTACCTTTCCCAGTTAAATTCCAGAGAGTTTTTCAAATTTTTCAATCAGTTGGTTGTCCTTTTCGGAAAAGATTTGTTCTGACTGAAATTCTTCTATCTCCCAAATCTTTTTCGAATCGCATAAAATGGAAGAACAATCCGTGCCTAAACATGCATATTCATAATTTTCAGTTAAATTTATTACATATATCTGCTCCTGATAGTAACCAACTAAAACACGAATTTGTAGTAGTAATGTTTTCATTTAACTTTACTCTCTTATAATAAACATTGTCCTAAACCGAATCGGACCTATGAGTATTTCCTTCTGACAGCAGTCCGATTATGAATCTACCAAATGTAATCCCTTTTTTCGACGCATTACGAACACATACATCTGGTATTTTTAAGGGAAAATTAGATATACAGGGTGATTCCAAATTCGTGGTACAGAACAAAGATACGAATAATATTTACATAGGAAACCCAGATCCCAATCCATTTATTTAGTAATAAATACAGGGTGTCTCATTTCAACTGAACAAGTAGTTTACTAGAAATACCTAAAATTCCATCA